CTGTAAGAAACCATTTTTATTCAGGCCCACAATATTACAAATTTTATAAAGAAACAACTACGGTGCATATGATAAAACAAAAAAGTAATAATAAAGCATTATGACTGAATTATTAAAGGCATTTCTTCCTTAAAAACAACTGGAGGTTCAGGCAGGAAGAACTATTGATTTAAGAAGGCTTTTCCTTTTGTGCTCAAAGTGAAAAAAATGGAAGGCTTCAGGGAAGAGAGAGCAAATCATCTAAAATATTTTATTTGATCTGTAGCACGTTCCTAATTTTACATATTAAAAGAATTATCACAAATATTTCAACTTCTAAAAAAAAAAAATTGAAAGAACTGGCAATACTAGTTCCAGAATGACAACAATCCCCCAGAATCAAAAAGGAGCTGCAGACCTGACCAGTGTAGCGCAGTGGTTAGACTGTCAGCCTGAGCAAGGAAAGAAGAGCTCAATTACTGGTCAAGGGCACATACCTGGGTTGCAGGCTCAATCCCCGGCCCACGTGCAGGAGGCAACCAATTGATGTGTCTCTCTCACACTGATGTTTTTCTCTCTCCCCAATCCCCCTTCCCTTCCGCTCTCTCTAAAAATAATAATAATCAACAGAAAATATCAAATGAGGATTATACAAAAACAAAGATAAGTGGCTGCATTCTCCACACTGCAGTCCCCTCAAATGTACACTGTCTCCTGCCTGTGGTTACTTTATTTTAACCAGAACAAGGTCACCTACTTTTAATACAAATATGGCCAATACTAGCAAGCCTTAACTTTTGTATCATTAGGTAAATGCAGACTATCAAAACTATAAATGGAGCGGTCACAAGACAACATATGATTCCATTACATAAAATAATCAAAATAGACAAATCTAAAGGCAAAAAGATTAGTGGTTGCCTATAGGCAAGTGGTGGAAAGGACACAAGGAGTAACTGATAATGGGTACCAAGTTTCTTTTGAGGTATGTTCTAAAATTAGATGGTCGTACAATTCTGTAAATAATACTAAAAACCATCAACTGCACACTTTATTTTTTTTAATCCTCACCCGAGGACATTTTTCCATTTTTTTGTTCAGATAGAGTGGGAGGGAGAGAGGAAGAGAGAGAGAGAGAAACATCAACGTGAAACGCACACATCAATTGGCTACCTCCCGCACGCACGACCCAACCAGGGCAGGGGACAAACTGCAACTGAGGTATGTGCCCTTAGCGGGAACCGAACCCGGGTCTCACTGGACCACAGGCCAATGCTGTAGCCACTGAGCCAAACTGGCCAGGGCTCAACTGCACACTTTAGATAGGTAACTTACATGGCATGTAAATTCTGTATCCATAAATCTATTTTTAAGAACTGAACTTTCCTTTGTATTTTACAAGTTTCACTTTCTATCTGCCCACCAATCTGTTAGTGTCCAGCCACTAAGGTATCATTTCTGGCAAAAGAATGCAAAATAAATCAATTTTGGCCCTGGCTGGTGTGTCTCAATTGTTAGAGCACTAGCCGACACACCAAAGGGTCGGGTTTGATTCCCAGTCAAGGGCTTATACTTGGGTTGTAAATTCAATCCCTGGTCCCAGTAAGGGTGCATGCAGAAGACAAACAATTGATGTGTCTAACACCGATGTTTCTCTCTTTCTCTCTCCAAAAAAACTTTTTAATTAAAAAGCCATTAAAAATATCCTCAGGTAAGAACAAAAAGTAAAACTGAAAATAAAAATAAAAAAAAATCAATTTTGAGGTCCTTGTCCCTTTACTTGCAGTCTCTAAATATATTTCAATTAAATTAAAACCTTACTCTTTCTTCTTCTTGTTGTTCCCACAGATGCATGTCTTTAATTCTCTGTTCTTCATAAGCACTTTTTATTAAAGGGATTTCTTCCAAACGCTTAGCTCTTTCAAAATAGTCGATCTGAATAACAGAAAAACAAATGTAGTTTAAAAAAAAATCTTTTAATTTGACATGTTAAAATTTTACCAATCCTTTTATTTACCTTCTTTTCTTGATTCTTTAGGCGTTCCTGAAGTTCCTTCTTTTCTTTCTCCAGTTGTTCAACCTGTTTAGCCATGATGAAATCTGGATCCAATTCTTCAAGGTCCTAAAAAGTAATACAAATGCACAATCATTAATAAAATATTCAGCCCAGCTGGTGTGGCTCAGTGAATTAAACATCGTCCCATGGACTTGATTCCCAGTCAGGGCATATGCCTGGGTTGTGGGCTCAATCCCCAGTAGGGGGAATGCAGGAGGCAGCCAATCGATGTATCTCTCTCACACTGATGTTTCTATCTCTCCATTCTCTTCTCTCTAAAAATTAAATAAACGTGTATTAAAAAATGCAATGCAGCACTGCTTCTAGAACTAAATCCTAAATTACTTTTTATACAAAGGGTAAATTTAAGCAACGTAAACATGTTTTACAAGAGCCATCTTTCCACTGGACTATAAGAACAAAAATAACACCTATTTCTCACTTCTCCAATATGCATGTACTAAAAACTCCATTTTAACAGAGGTAAAAAACTGCACAGAGTCATTAAAAACAAATGCTTACTTGCCCTGGCCGGTTTGGCTCAGCAGTTAGAGCGTCGGCCTGCGGTCCAGAGAGACCTGGGTTCGGTTCCCGCTAAGGGCGCGTACCTCGGTTGCAGTTTGTCCCTGGCCCTGGTTGATCGTGTGGGTGGCAGCCACTCGATGTGTCCCTTCATGTCGATGTTTCTCTCTCTTTCTCTGTTCCTCTCTCTCCCTCCCACTCTATCTGTACAAAAAATGGAAAAATGTCCTCGGGTGAGGATAAAAAAAAAAACAACAAAACAAATGCTTACTTCACAGAGTTTAGTTAATAAATTCTGTGTACCAAAATGAGTGAAACAACCAAATAACCCAAAATAAACCAATAAATGATAAAGGACTATGCCTCTAAGAGATCTGGAAAAAAGTAAATTTAATAAGTAATGTGCTACATACTTCAATATCAATATCTTTGAATGCTTTGGCACCCAGTTCTGTCTTCTTGATCTGCTCCAACCGCTCACGAACAGTTTTCTTTTTGATTTGTTCATGTTCCTGTAGGATACGCTCCTTCTCTCTCTCCTTTGCCTCCTGTCGCAGCCTCTCTTCTTCAGCCTTCCGTACTTTCTGGAGTTCAGCTTCCCTCTGCTCCAATTCCTCTTTCTCACGCTGAATATTCAGACTCTCAAGGCGCTCTTTCCTTTCCTCAATTGTCTGCCGGCGAGCCAAGATACGCTGATGCTCTTTCCGTGAATTTTTAAGGTATGCAGTAACAGCCAACTGATGTTGTTCTTCTTTCTCTTGCTTCAAAAACAAATGTATTTTAAAAATTAAGTGACATTATTTAAGCTACTATCTCTCAGTTCCAAATGCTATAGCACTACTCCCATAGCAAAGACATAGGTGAAAACCTCCACTTGCTAGGTCAACTTTTCTCTGCACCAAATCTACTTTAAAGTGTTCAAGACAAGGAGGAATATGAACAAAACACACAAACAAGGAAAGAAACAACTTAGGCATGAAGGAGAAGCCCAATCATAATACTCCCTATTGTGGAGATCATTATTGTGTGATCTGTTGTACAACTAACTAATATTTATATTACTATGTGTAGTGTACTATTTTACTCCATGGAAGGCAGCTCAGTGATCAGTATATCTGATAAAGACATTTGAGCCCTGGCCAGTTTGGCTCAATAGTTAGAATGTTGGCCTGCGGTCCAGAGAGACTGGGGTTTGGTTCCCGCTAAGGGCACGTAACTCGGTTGCAGTTTGTCCCCAGACCTGGTTGGGTCGTGCGGGAGGCGGCCACTCAATGTGTCCCTTTCACATCGATGTGTGTGTGTGTGTGTGTGTGTGTGTGTGTGTGTGTCCCCTCCCTCCCTCCCACCCACTCTATCTGAACAAAAAATGGAAAAATGTCCTCGGGTGAGGAAAAAAAAAACAAGACATTTGATAAAAATACCAAAACTACCAAATACAACTGAATAGGTAATATATAATAAATCCCTTCTTTCAGACACCATCTCAAACCTTTTTGAGAAAGACATTACATGTAGTTCATTTCTCCCAAAGATACATACCAGTATATGAGCTGGTTTAATGACTTCGAGTGCTTTTGCAAGTACTGAGGACATGGCTGTCAGCTGGTTTCTTATCTGCTCTGAAGGCATGCTTTGCAAATAAGGACCAAGTGGAGCATCTTCTCGAGTAGCATAATTCAAATCAGATCCAAAACTAAGGGTCCGAGAAGTGTGGTCAATACGAACCTTTGAAAATTAAATAACATCAATAGTTAAATCTATACGTGTATATGTGGTCATTCTTCAAATGAATGACTTCTGATAAAAAAATTTCAACTAAATTTGAGGAAAAAAAATTAACAAAAGAATGTTGAATACAAAACCTAGAAGATTCAGTTAATAAAGCTTTAAATCAGTGCCAATGTATCAAAAGCTGAGAAACAAAGGCTATGTGTGTTTAGTCCTCAAAAGCCTTGCCTTCCACCTCAGCATCCCCTTATAGCACATACCTGCAGGTCACAGTGCCTGGCTGCATCTACTATGGCACGTTCCAGTTGGAAAGCATCAACAAAAGGAACCAGAGAAGTCAAACGAGAAAACTCAATGCTCTGATAAATTTGTGCCACCTGCATAAAAAACACAAGGTTACTAATAACAGGTATCATTTATTCAGCATTTTTTACATGCAGCCTCATCATACAACCATGGGAAGTAGAAATTATGCCCATTTTTCAGAGAAAAGAAGTTGAAGCTTAAGAATAGCTATAACATTACATTGCTGGAGTCGGCATTCCAATACAAGGCTCTCAACTCCAAATCCTATGCTTTAAAAACCACAGACTCATATCATTTCTAAAAAACATCATCCTTTCATAGTTCCATAAACAAAAGAACACTCTAACTGGTTACATATTTACAGAGGAAAACCTGCTACCTGATTCATCTGAACACTTTTTATAAAATTGTTTGTCTGAAGGAGACTGGCAGCATGACTATTTAGTTATACTGCTAATTAACCTTCAACCGATTGTATAGCACATAAGAAATAACACTGCTCACATATACAAGAAGGCAGGTCAATCAAATGTGCACAAATACTGAAGTGAACATATAATAAAAGCCCCTCCCCAAATCAAACAACTGGAAGACAAATGGGAACCATTTTAGCCATATTCTAAACCGTAATAGTCAACCTTAAGCAAGAAATTGGACTTAGAAGACTGATAATTACCTAGTGTTAAGAGAAAAGGCATTCTCCTTTACGACTGATGGAAGAGTCCCTTAATAGAATCTTTTCAGGAGCTATTACAGCTTTAAATGTGTAAACTCTATGACCAATTCTACTTATGCTACAGAAAGTCACAAAAGTATGTAAAGATACATGTAACAAAAATGCTCACTGTAACATTTTCTAGTAACAAGAGCCTTGAAATGCAGGTTTGCATCAATAGTGTAAATAAATTACGCACGATACCCTTAGACAATGAAAAGCACATAGATATTAAATGAAATAAGGTAGACTCTACATTACTAAAAAGGGTAAATATACAAAATTAGTGTTCAACAAAAAAGCACTTGCAAATTACATAAAATTCTTTTTTCAAATTAAATAGATAAATAAGAAGACTAATTTTGGACAGGCAGTAGAATTTGGGGACATGTTCACTTCCTAGGCCATTCCTAATGTTTTGTTTTGCAATCAAAACAATCAAGGGAGTAATTCCAGCTCTTACATAAAACATCCATTTTTCATTTTTACCTGCTGCAGAAGACGGAGTATGGTGTTGTTTTGCAGCTGTGGGACATACTGTTGCAGCTCTGGCTCTTTTTCAGGTTGGTCCTTGATCCAATTTAGAACCTATAAAAATCCATTAAATTGAAAAAGACTTATACTTTCTACAAAACAGATAGTAAAACATCTACAAAACTTTTTCCATTTTCTTAACATACAAAAACACAATACAAAGATATGCAGAATATCTTATGAAGCTATGGACACTTGTCTGAAGGTGACTGGCAGCAATGGCTAAGTTAAGTCATGCTGCTAATTTACCTCCACAGGTTTGTTTAGCACACCAGAAATATCTTTTCTCTTGACATAAAGAAAAAAGACAATGAAATGTGCACTGCATTCAAACACAAAGGACAATACTTCTCTCTTAATAGAAATGCATCCTAGAACTGCACTAGGGCAGGCTACATGGTGATATAACCAAAACTTAAATACAAAGGCTTACCTTTGTGACTCTCTCACAGAGTTTTAGGGGGTTAAATTCTACTTCCAGCCAGTTGTAAAGGTCTTTCACTTCTGGAACAACATATTGTAGCACATTGAATCTAACCTATAGTAAATAAAACAAAAGATTTAATTTCTGAAGGAAATTTTCCAACTGGGATTATGAACTGATAAATTTTTTAAAAAACACAGAATATTAGAAATCTAGACAATAATTAAAAGATTGCCTAGCCTCAATATTTAATTTTACTGAATAGGAATCCAGGACAACTGCTGAGTCTCTTACCTCAAATTACATAGCTACCTACAGTGAAAAACCCCGTAAGAACATAAAAAGCAAATTAAAAACTGTAAACACAATCAATAAATATTTACAAATACAGCCCGGCCCCTGTGGCTCAGTGGTTGAGCCTTGATCAAGAGGTTGCCAGTTTGATTCCTGGTCAGGGCACATGCTCAGGTTGTGGGCCAAATCCCCAGTGGGGGACATGCAGGAGGCAGCCCAGAGATGTTCTCTCTCATCGATGTTTCTTTTCTATCCCTCTTTCCCTTCTCCCTTACTCTCTCTCTAAAATTAAAGAAAAAAAAAACATTTAAAGAAATGGACAAAGACAAAAGTTATATTGAACACATAAATTTCACCAATAAAAGGGTTAGAAAAAGAATTTCACATGATTCCACTAATATGACATTTAAAATTCATAAAAAAGTAAACTTTAGCCCTGGCCGGTTTGGCTCAGCGGTTAGAGCGTCGGCCTGCGGTCCGGAGAGACCCGGGTTCGGTTCCCGCTAAGGGCACGTACCTCGGTTGCAGTTTGTCCCCGGCCCTGGTTGGTCATGCGGGTGGCAGCCACTCGATGTGTCCCTTCACGTCGATGTTTCTCTCTCTCTCTCCCTTCCTCTCTCTCCCTCCCACTCTATCTGTACAAAAAATGTTAAAATATCCTCGGGTGAGGATAAAAAAAAAAAAAAAAAGTAAACTTTATCTTTAATGGAATGCAGTGTGGTATAAGAATCCAAATTAAATTCCCTCACCTCATTTCATTCTTTTTTTTTTTTTTTTTTTTTTTTGTACAGATAGAGTGAGAGGGAGAGAGAGGAAGGGAGAGAGAGAGAGAGAAACATCGACGTGAAGGGACACATCGAGTGGCTGCCACCCGCACGACCAACCAGGGCCGGGGACAAACTGCAACCGAAGTACGTGCCCTTAGCGGGAACCGAACCCGGGTCTCTCCGGACCGCAGGCCGACGCTCTAACCGCTGAGCCAAACTGGCCAGGGCTCCTCATTTCATTCTTATCAAGATATTCTAGATTCTCTATTTAACACCCTTTCCAAATAGGGAATGTGCTAAGATGGACTATCCTAAATTACTAAAGTATATTGCTTACTAAAATTAACAATTGGCTTTCTGACCTAACAATCAGTCTCTTATGAACTTAATTTGATCCTGAATTTAATTAATATGATAATGGAATCATTCTCTTGGTGCTTATGCCCATGAGCCCAAAGCTCATGGATGCATAGCAAAATCACCAAAATTTATAAAGGCCACTTGGCAGTCACCTAATCTACTGACCTGACACAAACCAATATCCTCCCTACAAACATCTATACTTATCTATGAGCACAGTGAGGACCCAAATCATGTCCTGGCTGCTGGCCCAAAGCTCTCCATCACTGATCCCTGAAATGGTGTGGTATGTAGAGACACAGGCTCAAGAGATACAGATTATTCTTCCAGTTTGGCACACTTCTTCAGTATTAAATACAAAATTTTATCTTTTTATCCTCAACTGAGGATATTTTTGCATTTATCCTCAGATAGCAGGAGGGAGAGAGGAAGAGAGAGAGAGAGAGAGAGAGAGAGAGAGAGAGAGAGAGAGAGAGAGAAACATCGACGTGAGAGACACATCAACTGGCCGCCACCTGCACAACCCTAATCGGGGACAGGGACAAATCACAACCGAGGTACTTGCCCTTAGCAGGAACCAAACCCAAGACTCTATGGTCCGTAGGCCAATGCTCTAACCCATGAGCCAAACCGGCCAGAGCTAAAAACAAAATTTTAAAACATATTTGCTACTAAGACCTCTTCCTAAAGAAAATACTAGTGTTTTTTTTACATTTAATCCTAAAACAGTCCCATAAAAACTTGCCAAAACACAAAGCTGATACCTGTGGACAGTGGAAGCAGAATAAAACATGGAGGGCATACAAAGACAGAGAAATAAGGTTTTACATTTTAAGTTATTTTCAAAAGTTGACTAAAAAAGAAAACTTGCCTTACTACTACAACAGAGAAATATTACAAGAAAAAACTGCTGCTATACAAAAAACTTACTACAGTAGCTCTACACCATCTGCATTTTACTTTCCACAGCTTGTTACCTGTGGTCTGAAAATATTAAATGGAAAACACCAGAAATAAACACCAGAAATGTTTTAAATTGTGCACCATCCTGCCCGGCTGGTGTGGCTCAGTGGTTGAGTGTCGACCCCATGCATCAAGAGGTCGCCAATTCAATTCCAGTCATGGCACATGCCCAGTTGTGGACCAAATCCCCAGTGGGGTACATGCAGGAAGCAGCCAATTAATGTTCTCTTTCATCGATGTTTCTATCCCTCTCTTCCTCTCTCTCTAAAATCAGTAAAAGGAAAAAAAAATTTTTAAATAAATAATAGTAAAAAATTGTGCACCACCCTGAGTTGCACAATGAAATCTCTACCTGTCCTCTTGCTCTATCCCATCCAGGACATGCATGATCCTTTTGTCCAACATATCTAAGCTATATAGTCATGTAGGTTATCAGATCAGCTCTATCAAAAGTACTCGTGTTCAAGTCACCCTTATTTTATTTACTGCGCACAAAGGGCAAGAGCAGTAATACTGACAATTCAGATATGACAAGGTTATACAGTGTCCCAAGTAAAAAGGTGAAGACTGTACATTAAAATATTTTGAGATCACATTCTCATATTTTTACAGGATATAACTGTTCTATTTTATTACTAGTTACTGTTGTTAATCTCTTACTGTGCCTAGTTTATAAATTTAACTTTATCATATGTATGTATAGAAAAAAAAACAATATTTATAGGGTTTGGTACTTTCAGGCATCCATTAGGAATCTTAGAATGTATCCCTCAGAAATAAGGAAGAATTACTGTAGTTCTTACCTAAACTGATGATCAATTCTGTCAAAAAAATAAGGCCTCTTCTCAAGCACCTGACTCTCTTTTTTCTGGTGTACAAGTAATTTGCTGGAGGTGTACCACAATAACTACTAAAATCTAAACCCCTAAGGCATACGAATTCCATTTAAGTATCACTTGTCTGGCATATAACAGGCACTCATGAATGATAAATTTCTGCTGAATGAAAAGATTGCAATCAATGTAAAACATTGTAAAGATACTACCTTGGGTGCAGTATTCTGAAATTAATTTAGTGTTTGTGGTGGGTGAAACCTACATATCTGCATTTTACCCTCGTCATCATATTTCCAATACAGTATCTGTAAGTTTGATTCATTTTCCTAGAGTCCCCTGAAATAAGCCATGAACCTTCTTGGCCATCATTATTATTCTCTTACTGAGTGGTCTGGTCCATATTATTCCCTCAGAGCTAGTTCACATTTCATTTGCTACATCAAATTTGAATCCAACTCAGCCACTAGAGATAAATCATCTCAACTGAACACAGTGCTGACTTACAACATCGGTTCTTAAAACTTGTGTCCATTCATCAGAATCCCCTGGCAATGCAATCAGAATTTCCAGTTTTAATCATAAATTCTAAAACCTGACCATAAAGTTTTTGTTCAAAGTTTATACATTAGAATGGCCAAACATAT